ACCACCAGAGCGGCCAGGCGCCATGGCTGGGCCCGTCCGAACAGCACGCTGCGCGCCGTCCTGGGCCACCTTCGCAGCCAGGCTCGCGAACCCCCAGCCCTTCTGAAGTGTCGGGATCCGCAAGCACAAATTGCTTGTGCCAGAAGGGCTGAGGAGGAGGAGGAGGAGGAGGACGTAGAGGAGGAGGAGGAGGAGCAGGAGGAGGAGGAGCAGCAGGAGGAGGAGCAGGAAGAGAAGACGGAGGAGCAGCAGGAGGAGGATGAGGAAGAGGAGGAGGAGGAGGAAGAGGAGGAGGAGGAGGAGGAGGAGGAGAGAAAAACATAGGGGAGAAGACACCACCTTCTCTCTCTCTCTCTCTTTCTTTTTGTTTCGCCTCTTCCTTTTCAGGTCGGTCTTGAGCTGCGTTCATTCGTGGGTGCGCGCTACTGTGTCCTGCTCGACTGGACCTCCTCATGCGATGCGAGGAAGAGGAGGAGGCGGAGGATGAGGAGGAGGAGGCGGAGGAGGAGGGGGAAAAGAGGATGATTTTTTTCTTTTTTTCAACGCCCGACTCCTCTGCAGGCCTGCTTGTAGCAGGTTTAAACTCGTGCCGCAATGGAGGGAAGTGCGGCAGTTGTAAGAAAATCTAGAGGGGCCCACCGCCGTACCTGTTGAAGGAGGCTGGGGCGCTCTTCGAAAATCAAATCGAGAATTAAAACATCGCGTCAGGTTGTTCGTTTCCACCGTGACGCCGAGCTTCTGTTTGCTATAATGCGGGTGGCGGCCCTTGCACAGAGCCTCCCACCCATAGTGAGCAGCCCGGGAGGGAGGGGGCTCGCAGCGCGCCCCGAGACCCCGAACCGAAGCCCCATTCGAATGGCACTTGCAGCGCGTGCAAATGAACAGAACCGAGCCGTCCGAGCAATCAAACGCAATGGTGCGATGTTCGAGCTGGTCCTGCCTGGCAGCGTGGAGCTTCGAAAACTCGGAGCACCTGCCTGGCGCAGGGCGCTCCGAAGCTCGTGAACCCCGCAGGCAGACGGCACAACGCCAGGTGCCAGACCAACGCTCCCATCTATGGCCAGGTTCCTGGGAAACAGGAAGGTACGGAACCCGCTCCGCCGAAGACAAATCGATGTCTGGCCACAGATGGAGCAGATTGGCGGCGAGCGCAAGAGTAGCACGAGCTTGCTCGACAAGCATGTGCGCCGCCTCCAGCTTGACGGGGTCCCTCGGGTGGAGATCGACAGCCAGCTTCGCACTGATGTCGGCGTGATGGTTGCCCATGCGCCTCCAGCGTTCGGATACGTCGATCCCGGCCTCATCGATAACGCGATGGGCGGCGACCTTGAAACACGGCGCTGGTTTAGCACCCTGTGCGAAAATCTGCAGGAAGGCACCCGAGTAAACTCGCTTGCCCGACAACTGCTCGCCCCGAGGACGAGACGCTAGCTTGACCACATTTTCGCAATCAGAATATACAGAAATGCGATCTGAGGCCAAAACATTCGCCCAAGTGAAACAGCTAAACTCTGCACTCTGGGGTGTCTGGGGATACGGAGCCCAGACCGGAGCACGAAACTCCGCGATGCGATCACCAGCATCGTCAACCATGATGACGCTGCTGGCAGCTCTACTGAGCTCCCGGATGGGATGCCTGGCACACGAGCCGTCTACGAAGAGGCTTCCCCACAACTCGGTGCCGGGGCGCTGCCCATTCGATTTCACGATATCTTCACGGTGCCACACAAGGACAGGGCCATCGTCGAACTCCGTGAGGGGACGGGGGTAGGAGTCGGCAGGATGGCGAAAAGCCCCGGAGATGAAAACGAAGACGTCGTCCTCGGCCGCCTTAGCTGCCAAAGCTGCTTCGACGATGCTGGCGTCCACTAACTCAGCGCGAAGCTCGGCGACAGGTCCATGGGAGCACTCCCAGAGCCGGTGGAAGATGGTATCCTGGCAGCCGCAAAAGGGGCAAGAATCTTCGACAAGATATCCTAGAGATTAGGCCCGAGACCCAGTGAAAAAAGCCTCGGTAGCAAAAACCCGAATCCTAGCCTTTTGTAAGGCCGTGTATTTCTTGCTATGCAACGCCTCGCGGACGATGTCATAGCAGACCCGAGGAAGCACCCCCCGCTTTTCCCCGGAATCTCTTTCCAGCATTCTGAAATAGCCGTCCTTGAGCAGGAGGCTGGTGAGGGCCAGGGAGAGGATTCCAAGGGGGAGGCTAAGGCCACGATCATCAATCAACGTCATGAAGTTTTCCATGCGCCACCCCAAGCGAACCAAGGACATGCGCAGGGCGCTGATGGGGCCCGCAACCTGCCTCCAAGAGCAGGCAGGATTTCCGAACACCGACTCCCAAGCTTGCCTCAAGGTGGGGAGGGGGGGTGGCCCATTGATCGGCAGACGTCTGGCTAAGCCATATCTCCTTGGCCCAGCGCAGGATGGGAGAAACAGCAGTGCGCCACGTGGGGTCGCCATCTAAAATGGCGGCCGTTGTTAACGACCGGAGCTTCGAGCACGGCATGACACATGAAAAATCTTACGCCGGAGGAGCAAAAGGTCTCGATCGCTCGTGCCCGTGACCTCGGACCCGTAGGACGCCCCCGCGAGAGGCCCAGACGAGAAGACCCTGATCACCGCAGACCTGTTGAGCACACGATTTTGCTTTTTAAGCCGGCGAGCACAACGAACAGCTTTCGCCAATCGAGCTTTCATCTTGGCCGACCGGCCAGCAACCCTAACAGCACGGCCGGCCGTATAGTCAATGCCAAGATTGACCGCATTGTCCGTGAACTTACCTCCGAGAGCCTGCAGCTGCGACGAGATGTGGTCACCTAGCTCCTTAGAGGACGCCACAATAGCGGTCTTGTCAAGAGCGAAAGAAAAACCGAACATTTTCTCAACCACTAACTGCAGCTCCCGGGCTCCACTGACGACCGCCGTAGACACCCGATGTGGCAGGTCGGTGCACGAAAGCCCTTGGTCATCAATGTAGACGTCGAGGTCGAGATTGCGACGAGGAGTGAGAGAGTCATACCCGTCTTGGCAAAAAACCCGAATGAACGACGTAGCCATGGAACAGCCGGCAATGACTCCGTTGACGCAGAAGTAAGGCCCCACCAGCCAGCCTCCAAGACACAGAAACCTGCCGCATCGATACGCATAAATGCACAAGCGGGCGATGACGAAAGGGAAGCCGTGTTTCGTGCATCTCGCGGCCAGTTCGGACAGGCTGATATTCTCGTAGAATTTTCGGAGGTCAAAGAGCACGCTGCATGAGGCCTTCCCTTTGGCCAGCCCGCTCTCGGCAGCGAGAGCCTGACGCCACACCACGTCAGTCGCACCCCTAAATTGGCCAGCGGCCCAGTACCTCCTGGGGTGTTCCTGCTCCCAGTCCAGGGCCATGGGGCGCCTGCAGCGGCCCCAGACCCTAAACCAAGAGCAGAACACCCCAATAGGTCTGTAGCCGCCAGCCTGCTTAGGAAGGAGAGCGAGAAGAACCACGGAGATCTGGGGAGGGAGGCACCCGACAGCCTCCATCACAGAAAAGACCGAGCTGAGCACTTCGAGCGCACTGTCCGAAAGCAGGGAGAAGTGGCGGCAATGGAAGCCATCAACCGACACCGCCGAGGCCTCTCGATAGGACTTCGAAATGCTCCGAATAACATCCGCGGTGAGACGAGGGAGGGGGTCAGACAAAATCCCGTCCGGCTGAGCCCCCACTCCTTGACCCCAGAGGGCCGTGAACCTATCTCCTTCCGACTGCAGAAGGGAGAGGGGATCACTAAGAATGCACCCATCGGAGGAGAGGGTGGAAGAGGGGGGGAAAAGAGGAGGAGGAGGAGGAGGAGGAGGAGGAGGAGGAGGAGGAGAGCCGTGTGTCTCCTCGTCTGGGAGGCGACGGGGCTGGGGCCGAGGCCGCGGCCAGGGCAGCGGCCGGGGCCGCGGCCGTGACCGGGGCCGGATCCGGGGCCGAGGCCAGGGCCAGGGCCAGGGCCAGGCCGGGCCGGGAACGGGGCTGGAGCGGGGGCCAAGGCGGGGGCAGGGGTCCTGAGGGAGACCACTTTGGCCGCTTCCTGCGGCCGAGGGGGGGTCGCATCTGCCCCAGGACCCCCCCGGACACCCCCCGGGACCCTGCCCCCAGGACCCCCCCCCCCAGGGGAGAAGGGATCATCGGGAAGGAGGTTCCCTTCGACTCAACTACAACGTTGCTAAACTACCAAATGGTACAGCCTCTTCCACACGCCGACATGGGGTCGGCGGATTTTTCACTCGCCCAGTTCTGGGGCCCCGAGCGAGCGGGCGACTTGTCGCCATCGCGGCGCTCCGTGCACCTTTCACTTAGAAGTGGCGTTCCAGCGCGGGCGCGGCGCGTTTTCGCCGAGTCGCATGAAATCGACAGCGGCACGGGGCCGCGCGAGAGCGGGTGAACTACTGTCCTCCTCCAAGCGTCACGCAGCTTGTGAGTGAAACGGGCTCGTCGCAGCGCATGGTGTGTCCTCTCCACATTCATCGGAACGTTGCCGCTCCTACCCCTGCGCGGCCCGCGTATTTGTTCTATTCGCCGAATCATCGTAAGCGGGGCCGCGCGCGAGCGCCTTCAGATCGCTTGGTGGGAGCACGTCCCAAGTACAATTTTCAGTTGTGTCACACTTGGATTGGGCGGGGCCCGCTGACTTGTTTGACCTTGCTAACTTGACACCAGCTCTCTTACTTTAGGCACGCCTGATAAGAATTCTGCCTGCCAGCGGGTGCCGGGTGCCACACGGACATTTTGAATCTCCCGATGGGGCCGCAGAGCTCTGGGGCACCTGGCGAATCGCACAGTCGAGGATGGATGTACCGAGACACTTCTCACATACCAAGGTTCATTATCGTTGGTACCTACGTACTCCCTGCCCCCTCCTCCTCCTCCTCCACTTCCACCTCCTCCTCCTCCTCCTCCTCCTCCTCCTTTGGGGCTCTCTACTCAGATCCCGGCCCGTCTCTTCCTCCCCCCAGCTCGTTTGCACCAGGCGAGGTCAGGGCGATCAAGGAGCTGCCCGTGTTCGCTATCACGGCCACGTTTTCCGTGCTCGCGTACGCGTGGTTGCTGGTGATCCTGCTGTGGAGGTCGCCGAACGTCGTTGAGTGGTGGGAAGGAGTGCGCTCGCGAGAACCTCCCTCCTACCCACCCTTCCCAGCTGTGCCCTCTCTCCCGTCCTTCCCCTTTCTTGCTTCCTCCCTCCCTCCTGCCTCCCCCCCTTCCAGTCCTTCCATTCCTTCTCCTTATATGCAGCTTCTCCCTGTCGCACCCTGAGGCCGGTTGTTAGGGCGGACCAGGCGTTTCGCCTGAGACTTCCGCACCGCTTATGTCTCTGAAGCTTTAACAAGTGACAACGGTTTCACAGATGGAGGGCGGGTCGTTTTCAAACTGTGGTTATCGCCTCGGCGCCGCGCACATTAGTTTAAACAAATTGCAAGAGCTTCACGGGCTGAGGGCGGGTCGTTTTCAAAATGTGGCTCTCGTCTTAGCGCCGCGCACATTCGTTTTGAACAATGCAGGATCTTCACGGATTCCCATGATCAGCGTACCAGAAAAGGTGTTTAGGAAGGATTCCGGATTATACGGATTATAAGGATTCCGGATTATACGGATTACGGGTGTTAAAGTCTCCAAAGCGGGGTTATTTATACCGCTGCATCACTACGAAATTGATTTGCCCAAGAATTGAAACGCCAAGTAAAATTTTACTTGATTTTTTGTAATTGCGCGGGTCATAGGGGGGTAGGCTGAGTGGACGGGTGCAGGGGCATTCCAATGTTCGACCCGTACGACACTGCGATAATGATACACACGCCCAGCATGCGTAGCCAGTTCGGGGTCGGCTTCTGTTTTGCGTTGTCGGCCCTCGCCGCGCTCCCAGCTACAGGCCGCATGCGTCGCCACCACTGGTGCGCGGGTCGTGGAGCAGGACAAAAACTGTGAAAGGCGACTCAAGGGTGGACGAATCCTACCCACCCGCAATGTCACGGAATCTGCGCCGCAGGTTCTGAATTGCAAGTGGCGGGGCCCGCCCACAGACAACATGAAACGCGACCGCGACGGACGCGGTCGCCCACCGTGCAATCAAAGGTGGTGCCACCAGGAAATTTGGCCCACTAGCGCGGTTAAGGCGCCCCAAGCCATAAGACGTCAAGCCATCATCCTTTCCCGGCATCCTTGGCTGCTGCCTCGGCCGTCCAAGGGTACCCTTGGCGGCGCATTCATCCTTGCCGTTTGGGGTTGAAGCCCGTTGCACGGCGGCGTCGCAGGGATGGGGGAGGCAAGGGTACCCTTGGGGATACTTCCGTATCCTTGCCCATGTTCTCGTTTGGGCGGGCGCATCCCCGCGCGTTTCTTGCCGCGTAATGGCGTTGCACGGCCCCTTGGGCATCCTTGCAGATTTTTGGGTTGTCGCCTTCTCCCCGATCTTGGGTCAGTTTTGACCCGGCAACGGTATATCTTCATGTTCCCCACGCCCCCTTCTTTGCCTCCCCCCTCCTCCCCCGCGGGAGCTTGTCGCCCGCTGCTCTGAGGCGCCCTTGGCCCATGATGGCATCCAGATTCAAAAATGTACCATTGGTTTTCCTCGAGCGGTTTCCGTGGTGACACGTGTCACCTGCTTTTCTTCTGAAGATTCCCTGGCTCATGTTGGCGCCGAGAATCGAACGATTACGTTTGGTTTTCTCCAAGCGGTTTCCGCGGTGACACGTATCGCCCGTTGCTTTTCTGAGGCTTCCTTGGATCATGGCGGCGTCCAGAATCAAAAATGCACCGCTGGCTTTCCTGCAGCGGTTTCCTCGGTGACACGTGTCACGAGTTGCCTTTCTGAGGCTTCCTTGGTTCATGTTGGCGCCCAGTCAAAAATGCACAGTTGGTTTTCTCCATGGGGCTTCCGCCGTGGCACGTGCCATCCAGACGGTCACATCCAGTTCGTCATTTGATGTCGTGTTTGCCTGTCATACCTTTTCTCCCGTGACACTTTTCCACGCTGGTCGGCGGCGTGCGGTTAACAACTTTTCAATAAGTAACCTTTGTCGATTTTCTTGTTCCCTGCTCCTCCCCTTCCGCCAACGAGCAGCTCACCAGAAGAGATATTATAACAAATTGTGTGCGCATGCTTTCCACGCCACGCTACCCCAGCCCATGTCGTACTCAACGGGGTCCTGCCCTCCATTTTCGCTGGAGGCACTAGGTTCTATTACATCCAATTTTATTTAGACACTACGCTGGCTTCGTTTTGCACTAACGTGCCTTACCGCGCCCTTTCCAACCCCTACTCCTACACATGCTGTGATCAAGGTCAACCGCATCTCTGCAACTATCCTGCGCCGTACGATTCGTAGCATTAGCGTGGTCCGCAAACCTACCCCGCAGCTCATCCCACCTCACCCTGGCATATTCAAACGCCAGCCAGACGCTATCCACGTGTAACGGTGGTGCAAAGGGCGGCAAGACCGAGTTCGACGCGGGCGTCTCCTCAGGGTTCGACGCGTAGATTTCGTAACACACGCGGCCGCCATGGCGGCGTCCACGACGCAAATGTCACCGCGGTAGCACAGCGCAACTCAACGCCCAATCCGCATGCGCAGACCACGTGCACATGTCCTGCCCAATCTATCCAATGCCCGCTCCCCCCATCAGGCTTTGCTCTACACGGGCTCCTGCAACTAATCACAACTCTTGTGTACCAGTGCAATCTACCTCCTTACCGTGTCCAATGCACAGCCAGCGCTGCTCTTCTTCGTTTGCCGCGACTGTTAAGGCGTCGTTGCTATTTTGATGTGGATCGCCATATGCTTTAATGTATTCATCCTACGCGAACTTTACGGCGCGCCTGCATCGCGCAATTTTAGCCCCCCCGCCGCTCCCCCTCCCGCCCCTACCGCCACCCCTCATCCCACCCGACCCCGCTCCATCGCGACCCCGCTCTGTTCGCGCCCCCCCCCCCCCGCGCCCGCGCGCAGCGCCCGTGCACAGCAGCGCCCGCGCGTGGCATCCGTGCGCGAATGTCCATGCGCCACGTCGGTGTGCCACGCGCGCGCGCGACGCCTACGCACAAGTCCCGTGCGCCGCATCCGCGCCACAACGCTGCGCCCTTCCCATGGTTCATGGCCACTTATGGAATTGCACCCGAGGCCCCAGTAGAGACGCTTACATGCGTCCGCGCCGCGCATCATGCCGCACCCTCGCACGGACCGCGGCCCCATAGGGGGCTCCATCTGGGCCCCCTGTGGCGACGTGGACATGCGTCCGCGCCACCGATTACGGCGCGCCCCATCACGCGGTTCGCGGCCCCACATGGCGCTCCACTTAAAGCACCCGTGGCGACGGTCGCACGCTCCTGGGCCACCCATCGCGGCGCGCCCTCGCGCGGTTCGTGGCCCCAGAAGGATCTCAACGAAAAGCTGCCCAACCATTGCGACGCTCTCCATCACGCGGCCCGTCGCCTCAGAAAGAGTTCCACCCAAGGCCCCAGTGGCGAAGTTCGCACGCGCGCGCGCAACCCATTGCGGCGCACCCCTCGCACGGTCCGTGGCTGCATCGGAGTTTTCACTTGAGGCGGCGTCGCACAAGCGTCCGTGCCGCCCATTACGGTACGCCCCATCACGCGACCCGTGGCCACATGAGGAGCTCCACCTAAAGTCCAAATGGCGACCTTTGCCCGCGCCATTCGCGGGCCCATATGGAGCTCCAAGCGACGTGTACTGCGTTTGGCCGCCTATGACGGCACGCGCACGTGCGGTTGCGCCGCCCATGGCGCTTGCGCCGCCCATGGCCCGCCCACCCACCCAGAGACCCCCGCCCAGCTCCACCCCCGCCACCACCAACCCACCACGACCACCGCCACCCCCACGCACGCCCCCCCCCCACCACACTCACCACCACCGCCACCACCAACCGTCAACCACCACCACACAAACACGACACACACACACACACACGACCGGCACCACAGACACACACACACCACGCACCAAACACATCACGGCGCATCTATCGCACGGTTCGTGGCCCCATAGGGAGCCCCACCGAACGCCCCAGTGACACGCGCATTTGCGTGTCCACAATCGCGGTCCCATCATTGCACACGATTGAGCTCATGCCCAAGGTACAGTCGGAGTCCATTAGTAGGTCGGGCCTGCCAAATCAAGGGTACTCTGTGTCCTGTGCATCGCGCTTCGTGTCCTCTGCATTCCCCGGGCAAGGGTGCCCTTGTGTCCTGTGCTTTCCGCGGGTGTCGGCGGCTTGGCCCGCGGCGTTCTGGGCGCGTCGCGCCTCGGGGAGGTCGCGGCCCTGGTCAAGGGTACCCTTGTGTCCTCTCAGATTTGGGGGTTCGGTTCGCTTCGATGTAAGATTGCGGTTTCAGCGCCGCGCCGCCGGCGCCGCGGCGAAGGGTATATTCTGCGATGTCCTCTGAGTGCGGCCGCGCCGCCAGTGAACCAACGACGCGTTCACTCGAGGTCGCCCCCGCGCAGCAGGGTACTCCTGTGTCCTGTACTTGCCCAGCCCTGCAAGTTCATTCATCGTCGCGTTCGGGCAGGTCGCGGGGCGCGCAAAGGATACCCTGCCGCCCTGTGCATTGGCTTCTCTTCGGCGGGCCCCTGGGGACAGCAGTGGAGGCGCGCTTTTGGCGGAGTCACGCGGGCGCTCAGCCTAAGTCTCATAGAGCGTTCTGTATTGTTCCGAATAGAGAAGGCGCCGTGTTGGCTTGCAAGCTAGAGCGCGCGCGCGCGCGGACGCGCGCTGGCGCGCGCGTGAGGAGTACTGTATGGTCCACAACAGAAAAGCTGCCATGTAATTTCAAAAACTGAATTTGACATTTCTGTGGCCCTTTAAGGAGGCCGACGGACGCACCGACTTTCCATTGTGGACAATACAGAAGTCCCCACGCGCGCGCGCGCGTGAGGAGTTCTGCATTGTCCACAATACAAAGACCGCCATGTAAGTCCAAAAGCTGAATTTGAAATTTCTGTGGCCCTTTAAGGAGGCCGACGAAAGTGTCGACTTTTCTATTGTGGACAATACAGAAGTCCCCACGCGCGCGCGTGCGCGCGTGAGGAGTTCTGTATTGTCCACAATAGAAAAGCCACTTTGTAACTCGAAAAACTGAATTTGAAATTTCTGTGGCCCTTTAAGCAGGCCGACGGAAATCTAGAATTTTCTATTGTGGACAATACAGAAGTCCCCACGCGCGCGGGCGCGCGTGAGGAGTTCTGTCTTCTGCACAATAGAGACGCCGCCCTGTAATTCCAAAACTAAATTTGGAATTTCCG